TATGAATGATTGAGTAATAGGAAGTTAAGGCACTCTAACTTTTTCCTCACAAACTGACAGGTGGTGTGGAGCTGTGCTATTATCATGGAAGTAATAAAAAGCACTTTCAAGAAGCTTGCTGGAACCACACCTGACCTTAAAGATGTTTCTGGAAGAAAAGTGTCACACTCTGAGAATATATCACATTTTCAGACTCAAAAGTATGCTCCTTGCTGTCACACTGCACAACAATCTTAACCTCAAGATATGTCACTGATGCTGTTCCTGATGAATTTCCCATAAAAGTGATAAAACACAGAAGTGCCTTTATTAGCTCCCTGTGCTAATAAAAAATTAAAGTCTTTCCATAGCCTCATTAATTTTCTCCTCAATAAAGATCTAACAACAGCCTCCAGTCATTTTTGAAGCAGCATGGCTGAAGAATGACCTGGAAGTGCTAGCAAGCCTCTAAAAGCCAGAGGTTCCTACCTCCCATTTATTTGATTAGATGCTTCCACATCCCAGTGAGACTAACCCGAGAACACTTGGACACTGAATCTGCCTTGTTACATTTATTTTAAAAGAGAAATGCTCTGGCCAAATGCAAGACAAGTACTTCTATCTATTTCCTGCACTGGACTCACATAACACATCGCTTCACTTTTTCAAGGCAGAGGTTGATGAGAATCTCTTCTGGCAGAAGTGCTGGTTGCAATGTAGTGCTGGTTGCAGCAGATCCTGCTCCTCGTGCTCTTACAACTCTGTGTGCAGCTACGCAGTGAACTGGGTCAGAAACTGCTGTGTTAAACTTCACTCCTTTTTGTTACCAGCTATTTTTAACTGGCACAAATGAGGTGGAATATACCCATGGATGAAAGAGCAGATATCTAAGCTGGCACTACTGCCAACATACATGCTTTTCAAGTGACACCACAAGAAAGCCACATTTGATAGTTCTTTGTTTTCTTTTATATGCCAAGATGGCAAATTTACAATCACGGTCCAACCCATTGTTCCAGATAACCTGAAATACACCTTGAAATTTTTAAGAGAAATAATAACTTAGAAGTAGTTAAAAAGACAAGATAAAATAAATCATCAAGGCCAAAAATAGATTCATATTTAGAAGAATCTTCAGCTCCACTTTTGATTTATACTCAAGCCAAAATGCAGAACCAGTGCAATTAAAACCTTAAACCTCTTTACCCTGTCATGAAAGACCAAGTATCTCTGCATCAGAACAGTTCTGGTGATGACTGAACATCTCCAGGATTAGCAATAACAGTCAGAAGAAACAACATCTACCCTGCATGCATGAGGGGTGGCGTTGCTTAAAAGTGAAGAATTGATGTGATCAGGTTTTGTATTCCTCTTTTTCGCAGTAAGTACCACAGGTTGTCTTCTCATCTCCTTGGGTTGGAGGGTGATGGGGTAGGTGATTCAGAGAGCCTGTTCTCTGTTTCCAAGATGGTGTTTTTGCAGTAACCATTAACCTGCTGCCAATGATGACAGGGAAAAAAAACCTCACAATATAATAAAAACCACAAACCAAACCAAAAACCACCAACAGAAAGGAACCATCCTTAGGTGGAAAGAAAAATATTAGTAAATCAGGTATCGTTTCCTTCACTAGAGCCTGAGCACATTGAGGTGAGTTTATTTCAGACCCCTGTTGTCTCCATTTTAGAAAGGTCAGAAATTCTAATCAGGAAGGAACAGCATTAACTGTGTTCTCATATAAAATGACTGATCTTAAAAGCAAAAGGACTAGAACAAGTAAATCCCACTGAAAGCTCCTTTCTCCAGCTTCTGAGGATTTATCCACCTTGCACTCCTCACAGGAAAGTCTTAATCACAGATTTACCTTCCAAAAACTACAGTTTGATATCATACAAACCTAAACAAAACTATCATGCCAAGCAAGGTTTTGTCCAAGTAAGAGATATGTCCACTTGTCCCCATCTTAAATGCAAAGAGAAAAATACTGAAGTAATAAATAATAAGCTAATCAGAGAGAAAAAGTAACTCGTTGGACAAAATTCACTGAATTGTAAGGCAGACATTTAAAGTTAGGTGAAATGAATCCTGCCCTAAAAGTATCTCTGACAAGCTTGCAATAGGGCTCCACATTAAATTTAGTTCATCATCATACTAAAAACCACCCAGACATAGTGTCACAGATGCTTCAGAACAGGCACTTCCCCAGCCAGAACACACATAAAGAAAATGCAGTTTTCTGAGGCACATATATGGCTGCAAAATGTTAAACTTGAAACCAGGCAGAATCCCCAGAATCCCCAGATCTGGTTCTGTCAGCAAGTGCCAACACTTGCAAAGCTGGGTGGTGACAAAGAGCTGACACAGAAGAATCAAACAAAAAGTGCTACAGATGTTTTGGTGTCAAAATATAGCAATTCTTGTTTCGACTTCACTGACATATTTTACTAAAAATCCTACATATCAAAAGAACAGCCAAACCCAGTGTAGGCATTTATAGCTAAAAGCCCAAATAAATAAGGTTTCTGCTCAACACAATTTCTTCAGCATCTATGAGTCTATGACCTAATTCACAATTAATAGTTTAAACACCTGCAAGATACAAATCCCAGAAGTACAAGGTGGCCTTGGCAATTCCTCAGACAGTTGCCAAAAAATCACTGGGAATCTGCTTCCAGATTGCTGCAAGAAATGAAGAAAAGGCGAGGATTTGATTTTTTCCAGGGATATTCAGAAGCTTTGGTGAGAGCATCAGTTGGCCAACGACTTGGCAAAGGCCATGGATCAGTTGATCTGGGGTTTCACATGCATCTCTGTCTCGTTCCTTTTATTTCAAGGGAACACTGAGGACGTCAGGCACAGCCCACAGCTCTTGTTGTCCTGTTGGCTGTAAATCTGGATGATAAATTAGGTTCTTTCCTTAAGCAGTTGAGAGGAATCAGCTCCAGCAATCTGATCAGCTCAGCTGAAAGGCAGGTAGTTGTCAGGAATTGTTAATGAATTGTCAGGAAATTCCCAAAAAACTATGTGAAATGAGCAAAACGAAGCAAATGGGATGAAATCACAAAAGAAAGAAATCCCACTGCAAATTCCACTGAAGAAACAAGCTTTTCTCTTTCCTTACATTTACCCATTTTTATTCTCATATTTATGTTATATGATGATGCCAGACAAATTTAATAGAGTTGTTATTGAACAGAATGAGAGCTAGAAATTTTTATTCACTACCACTTTTCATGCAGTATCAGATTAAGACAGATTAAGCCTTTGGCTTCAACTACATGATGAAAAATATTACTACATCTTAAATCGCTATTATTTTGTGGTTTAATTCTGAATTCTAAATGTTTTGCTATTGGATCTGGCCACAGTTTATCCAAGATTAAATACTTTATGAAGTAACATGAAACTGGCAAGAATTTTATAAAATCTAAAGAAATATATAGGCAGAAGCCCATGAATAAAATATGATTACAGACCAATGTATAAAAAAAATTTAATCTGGCCAGCAAAGCAATAAAGTTATTGGAAGTTCAGTGCAAAAAAGTAAAATCAAATTATTACAAAACATTTCAAAAACCATAGGATATCACACACTGATGTTTGAAATATTACTTTAAGATGCTTAAGATGATTAAATCTTTCTCATGGCAGCATGCAAAAAAGGGGTCATAGGTCAGGACTAGTGCCTGAGATTTAAATCCCTTTGACCAGGAAGCATCAGACTGGAAGTACTACCCAGTTCCCATCCAGACCTAAACACTGGTGCAGCTACAGGGACCACTACTGCCAAAGAGTGACACAGGAAAACTAAAAATACATCTAGTTCTCAGACCATTTCTAGTTATTTTTCTGGTTTTCACAAGTAAATAGGAGAAGCTTTTGTCTCAAGACATCAGACAGAGTAAGAGATACATAATAGTAATGTGCCAGTAATTAGAGCTGTCCATAAAACCTTTAAATAGAGCTGCTGGTGAAAAGGTAAACTTATTAACTCCCTAATAATACAGACCCAACAACCTGGAGCAATGCACTGTATTAACTGAGCAGGGTGAATTAATCAGCAAAAGCAGCACAATAGGAAATAGTGTTTCTGAGGACATTCCTCACGGCTCCTCAGGGAGCTGCGCTACTCCAGCAGCCATTCCCAGTAAAGCCTCAACAAAAGAAAGGTCTCTTCTGGTTTGCTCTGGTTTATTTTTCATATATGCTGGAGAACCAAACATTAGAGGTTAGTCAGCTCCTTAAGTCACACTTGGGAAGTGGTTTACTCCTGTCACCACACTTTCCTACTCGCTACTGCAGTCACAGAGGCAGGAGGCTGTGACAGACAGAGACGCGTTAGATGTCACCTTCTGGTCTCGAGCATAACCCTGAGATAACGTGGTTGGGAAATTGCAGGAGCAAGTCATGGAAAGAGTAACACAGAAACAGTAAGTTACTGGGAAAAGTGAGTATACAAATAAATTTTAAAACTACAAGTTTCTGTATAAAATAAAATAGCCGTGATAAGAAAAAAGCAGGGAAGTAAGGCTGAGAATACAAAAAGGTCAGAAGAGTGAACTAGATGAGACTTTCATATTTACAAAACATTTTGTCTTTAAATCATAATGTGATTAGCTTTTTCTAAATTTCAGAATTAGGAAAATTTTCTAAGTTTTCTAAATTCTGAACTTCTAGAAATAGGGCATGAAATAGACAACTTCACTTCTTATGATATTACTAATTGACAGTGAAAACACATTGTGTCACCTACCACTGCAATTGTTTTTTCCTGTGACATCACTTGGTAAATTAAGATGTGAATGTGGCTACTCCAATCCCTCTCAGTAAATAAGGAAAAAGCTCAGTTAATCCTACATCCAAGAGATTTTCTCTTTCCAGCTTTTATATATCAGGAAAAGCAAAAAGGAAACTTGAAAAGCTTTTATGTGAGTGTTATAAAGGAATAATATAATTATAAAGGAAATGTGGTCATTGAATAACCAAGGTTTGCAGCCCCCAACTAACCATGAGGTGCTTACAACTGGGCTGTAGTAGAGGTGTTGCAGACTCAGAGAAACTCTGGATGATCAGGGTTCCTCGGAGGAGTTCACTGCACAACTGGCCCATGGCGGATTCAATCAAAGGAGCAGGCAAAGAGCAAATGTAAGTTGGTTGCTAATTCTACAGACCACAGCAAAATTTCAGGCTGCTTCATCACTAAGAGGATTTAGCAAACAGTGAGTTACAATTTTCTTCTTCGCTATCTGGAAATGGAAGCCCAGTACACCTGTGTTAAGAGGATTGCACAGGTAAAGGGTGGCAACTTGCATCTGCGCTTTAGCCAGAAGCACAGATTTTTATGGCATAAGGGGATTTGATTATTAATTTTAGTTATTGTTGCACTCTAATTGTCTGCTTTTCCAGACACACAACTTAGGTTTAGTGTGGATCTAAGAAAAACAAACAACCCTCCCCACACACACATAAACCCCTCCCTCAAAACCCCAGCACCAGCACAAACCATTCTTACCAGCTGAACCTTAAGTCCAGGCTTTTTGAACCTCCAAATATATGAGAAGAATGATGGGAATGGATTCAGTTGTGTGAAATCACTGCAGGTTTGCATTGCACTACTTTAGCAAAACCACCACAAACATCATTGCTATAATTTAAAAACTAAATGCTAAGTGCATTATTTCCCTGAAGCAAGCACAAACTATTGATAATTTTCAATCTGAAAATACATGTAGGTATTTTATGTCTCAGGTATATTATGATTCTTGCTTTCGAATGCTTTAAAGTTACCTACTTTGGATAAGACATCTCTGTCATCATATCCCTCCCCAGTTCATGGTCTCTATAATTAAGAATTTAAAGAGTTTCAGAAATAAAATGAATGTGTTATTTTGATCTCAAACACAGTAGCTCTTCAAGACTGAAACTGGATTTCTCCTTTACTATCCTTTTGTCAGCTAAACCACAGTTGAGAATGTAACTTGTTAAGTAACATACTGATGTAGATTGACAGTACTATTCACAGTGTTTCTTTTCCCTAAAAATATATAGATGGGACTGGAAAAATTCAAATTTCTATCACCTTTAATACACATTTAATGATGCTATTTGCTCACTATGACCAACTTGCAAATCCTAACTTAAAAAACAAATTAAGTACTTGCAAACATGCTAAAAATGACTTACAAAAATTGAATGTCCTTGACTTACTCCAGTCATTTTCAGGGATGGGATGAAAAATCAGTATTTCCTTTAGAGGGCTGCAAGGTCTATATTATTTCACAAGCCATCTAAGTTATATTGCATTAAGTGACTGCACTGCTAAGGGTCAGAAAAGCTCATTGCTATTCTGAGTGCTCCTGCTTTTGGGCGGGGGGGGGGTTGGAAATCACCATTAGTTAAGTGCAGAGATAACACTCCGATGATCCTATCGCAGTCAGCGTCCTCACTTTCCAATACCACTGTAAGAAACCAAAAAATGAGATGGCATCTGCTTATATTATTATTTTTACCAGAAATGCTGAAGTTAATCAATTCTGACTTTATGTTTTCTTGGAATATTGCTCCCTATGGAGAATTCACCAGAAAAGCTGAAGTTAATCTATTTTGACTTTGTTTTCTTGGAATATTGCTCCCTATGGAGAACCAGTCCTTTAAGTATTATTTGAATATGACACTAATATTAATTTAGAATTTAATAAGACATTCTAAAGCAATGCATATATGAAGCTCATTAAATAAACTATTATTTTAATTTTTCTCTAAGTCTGTATTGTGATAATCTTCCTAACCAAGTTCCTGAGTCAAAGAATTTTATACACTAATGGAAAATTTATTGAAAGTTCAGGACTTCCAATTTAATCACCTTACTGTCTGAACATTTCCATGTCTGCCACCAGAAATCCCAGCCCCGACCAGCCAAGACAGTATTGCACTATATTCTGTTTTTGTTTCTCTATTATTTTGCAAAACTTGTACTTTATATGTCTACCTTACTACTGAGCCACTATGTTATTCACTACCTCTCAGCACCTCTTACTTTTCAAGTATTTGATGCATCAACTGTACTTCTAAAGACAATATATTTCTTATTTTTTCAGATACAAAAGGCACTAAAGGTGCAGTTCCATAATGGGCTTAAGCCAATTTCAGACCATGCTGCTGCCAAAAGAGGCAACAGCTTTTCTTCCCCCCTCCTCTTGTATCGGCGTTAGTGATTTTATGGCAGCACGCTGAATCAGATCAGCCTGTTTCAGCTCACTGAAGGTGAAGTGCGCAGAAGGTGAAGGGAAGCTCAACCTTTTTTGTCAACAGCCAGTGGAACAACTTTGGTTTGAAAATTCAGCAGTTAAAGCTGTCATTTTCTGCTCTTCTCTGCCTCTTGCTGCTACCTCCAAATGTCTTTGCGGCTGTTGAGCTGAACTGGGGAACTGATCCATCTGAACAATAGCCCAGAAAAAAATGAAAGATAAAAGGTTATTGTTTGAATCTTCTCCAATCCAGTTACAATACAGGCACAGAAACCAGAGCCAGCAATCCCAGGAGACAAGGCAAGGAGGAGCTGCAGGGGCATAAGTAGGAGAATCAAGTGAATGGAGCAACCACCATTTAAACCAGGATTGCCACAAAGAAAGTTGTTTGATTGACTACGCCTATGTAAAAAAGCTTGGGAAGGAAAAGTGATTCTGATGCACAGGACTGTTACAACAGCAACATTTTAAAATGCATTACAAAGCAGAACAAATGAGTCCCTTTCCAACAGGCATAAATTCTTTTAGTCCCAAGGGTCTCTGGTGGGACTGGTGGTTCTTTTTATATAAATGTGATGAAGGAAAGGAGAAGGAAGCTGAAGACTATGTCAATGAAAGGGTAAAATGGTAGAAAGTTAATTCTGATATGTTGGACTAGCAATTAAGAAATCATCACTTAAATCCTTGACAGTTACAGGAAATCATCTTCAGATGTATCTTATGCTTAATTTCATAACAAACAGCAATCAGACTGGATAACTCCCCAAATCAAGCACATTTTCTTTTAAACTAGACATCTAACTGCACTTATCTCCAGTTTGATGTTTTGTCAGGTAATTGCAGTGTGTGGAAACTGCAATACTGAAGTTCCCACTAGAAAATCCCCCTTTCCAAAAAAAGATTACTGTGCACACAGCTATTTGAAAAATATTTTTTTAATTAATTTTGGGCTGATCTTGGAGGGTCCTGTTCTCAGTACCAGTCATTATTGAATATAGGAAGCACTACAGTGATGATTTGTGTGAGCATGGCCTTGATCCAACAAAGAACTTAAGTGCCTGCCTCACTTCCCTGTACATTGCTAATCCTCCCATTGATTTGCACAGGAATATTCACATGATTCAAATCAAACTTAAGTGCATTGCTGGAGCAGAGCCAGAGTGCACTGAACATTGCATGACTGAGCCCACGATGGCCAAAGGTTTGGAGATGGTCCCATTCAATTTCACAGATCGAAATGCACATCTCTCTGGAAAGACATCACACTGAAAATTTATACCCCACTTAAAGCTTCCTCCGTTTTGAAAAATCCTCTACAGGAATTAATGTCTCCCATGATACTTACTGGCATACATGTGTGCTAATTTACTCAGTAAAGATGCATTTTGGTAGCATATTTACATTTTCCAGTACTAATAGTTGCACCACTTGATGTCTCTTCCGCTCTAGGACAGGCAGTGACATGACTCTACTTGTAAAGAGATTATATTGTCTTCAATATTAGTAAGTTGTTGGTTCCAGAAAAAGACATAACCACTCTACAAAATTTCTCTTTCTGTCTCATCATCTATATGTGGTCTTCCTTTGTCATAACCTTTGAATAATACTTTGGGAAATTTATTATAAAACCCTTATAAAATTGTACATAAATATTAGTTAAAATCAAGAAAATACTATATAACCTCTTAGGGGACTCAAAGTCACAGCTTTTCAGCTGACTGAGAAAAAAAAAAAAAGTCAGGAGACTGGAAACATGAGAACACTGGTCACATTCAACAAATCGAAGTTACTGATTACAAGAAGATAATGAGAAAAAAATTCCCCCAGACCATGACTGTTGCATTGGGTCAGTTCTGAAGAACTACAGCCAGTGAGGGGCCAAGAAAAGTGGAAGTTGCCTGTTTTCAGTGCTTTACTGAGGGACAGGAGTGCAAGAGACAGAGCTGAAAGAAGTTTCTATTTCCATTTTCCCCAGACACGTCTCTTCGCAAGGTCATGTTGATTTGTACACTGAGTCTGAATTGAAACCAAAGAGATTTGGCTCTACATATGGAAAGAGAAAAGGTCAAAACAAAGCTGCTTCTTCAGGGACTGAAGGAAAAATCCTTGGAGACCGGAATGATACCTGATAATGCTTAAATGAATGTTATCTTCATCAGTTTCATTATTAAACAAATTCAGACCTTCAAAATGCAGGTGCTCAGCTACATCCACCTCTCCTCTTAGAACCAGAAGGATATAATTTTATAAGTACCAATGGTTATTGCCACCAAACAGCTGTGTAAGTAGCACTATAGGGGTTTGGAACATGAAGTTCTAGCACAAAACCATCTCTAACAAAAATGTGTAAGACCAATCTTCCAACTTCAGTCTTAGAGCATCAGTAATTGTCACCACCTCAAGGTCAGCAGTTTTATGTATAAGCTGAGATAGAGAGTACACTGATGTTTTGATATATTGATGTTTTAGATGAGGACTGAACATGCCATATGGATATTACTGGTTGTCTGTGACATACAGGTATCCAAATCATAACAGACAGGAACTCTTATTCATGCTACTTGCTCAAAGACAGAATAACAGAGTATCTGTTCACCGTGCTGGCAGAAAAGTTGTCCTACAATGCTGGCAGCTCCTTTAGATCTGGCAGATCCATTGAAGTAGTCAACCACATGTTTGAATGAGCCATCCAATGGAGTAGCTTATCAGGGGACAGATTAAAGCTTTTTTTCCCCCCCTCCTCTTTCCAGCTATAAATGTCTAATCAAATGCTAAATTTTGTGGAGAGGGTCTTGTAAGGACCACCTCTATGCCACTTAAGCTCTATTAAAAAAAATAAATTAAAAAAAAAAAGATGTGATA